TCAATGATCCGCTTTACCATAAGCTTGTTTAGAGCCTGGTGCTTGGCAATCTTCGCAGGGTGTCCCTGTTCAAGCTTTGCAATGACGTCGGGTTGCAAGTCAGAGGGGGCTTTCCACAACAGTGAGTTCACAGGTTCACATGCGAGCACGCCGTCAGCAATCAAACTTGGATCAACCAAGCCATCTTCGATGCAATGGCTCATGGCATGCAAAATGAAATGATGCAGGCAAGCAGGCGCGCACATCTTACTCAACGCTTCCACAATTGAAGCTGCAACTACTCGCATGTCGTTTTCATCCATGCTGTTGGCGTTAACAATGCCATCAAGCAGCAACTTGAAAGACCTGTCAAAATCCCCTGGCGCGGGATGCGAAGGGCCCTGTTGCCATATCTCTGCCTGTCTTGCCTCAGGAAGAGCCTGGATGCAGGACAAAATGCACTGCACCTGTTGCGCTTCTGAAAAATCGGGCATCGGGTTTACAGCGGCCGGTCCTGGAGGGGAAGCTGCTGCGTGTGCATCTGAGGGTTGTGCAGGCACAGGGGCTGGGCAAGAATTAGGTGTGTTCAGGTAGGCCTGTGGCTGACAGGAGCCCATCTGAGGCCATACGCTCGATTGCGCTTCGTATTGCATGGCATGAGGCCAACTCGCACTTGGATTCAACGTGTTATGCACTGTTCCAAAGGCTGGCTGCTGCCAGGAGGTGCCCGTACCAGCTCCATACTGTTGCGCCCACTGCATCACTTGTGGGAACCCGAACATGTTGCCAAGCTCAAACGCGGGGAAAGGCGGGAGCAAAGCTACAGTACTGAGACAACAAACGCTGCTGCATTCACTGGGTTGGATTCGCACTCAGAGCTCTGAATGGTTGGAAGTTCGCTGCAAGGTCTTACAGACAAACACAGCAATGAACAGTACGCGGTACAAGAAGTATACCCTACACACGTTGCATCACGATGTTACTTACTTGTGCCGATGGCAGTGTCAGGTTTCCATGGAACAGTCTAGTCCCTCGATGAGGGTGCTTTGTGACACGGCATCGGCCAAAGCCGGAACACGTGCCCATGACATGTGTGGGTTGGCCGATGGCCGAGATCAGATGCTCGATGAGCAGATGCATTTTAGCCCGTGGGCGATTTCCAGTCGAGAACATGAGGAAGAAGAGAAGGGTGGGCCGGGGGGGGGGGGAAGAAAACCCCAACTATTTCACATGAATGCTTTGTTTGTTTGGCCCACCACACACCTCCTCGATCTGTACGTGTGGTGTCCGCCCGGACCCAGATCTCATCGGAGGGCGAAGCCACGTTGGAAGGGTACAGAAGAAACGAGAAGCAGAGGAAGGGACGATACATCTGCACGAGATTGATTTCAAGCTGTTTTCACCGAGCTTCCGACAGTGGGGTCCTGCATGTATTTTCGCGCGCCACTGTGTCTAAATCTAAGCGCCAGACATTGCCTTCATGAGCATTACACACGCCTTCTCACCCCGTCTTCGGTCTATTTAGCAGTGGTGAGGCTCCGCACTGGCCCGACACACCAGCACAAGAAGATAGTTCATGCAGCCACCGTGTTTCTTGAATCCGCAGCAACCTGAAAAGGGCTCATTAGCAATGCTTTTCCACAGAGCAATTAAAGACGACGGCTACTAAGACTGCTACTACTACTACTACTACTACTGCTGCTACTAGTACTAGTATTAGTACTAGTACTACTACTACTACTACTATTACTACTACTACTGCTGCTACTAGTACTAGTACTAGTACTAGTACTAGTACTACTACTACTACTACTGCTACTACTACTACTACTACTGCTACTACTGCTACTACTGCTACTACTGCTACTACTGCTACTACTGCTACTACTGCTACTACTGCTACTACTGCTACTACTGCTACTACTGATACTACTGCTACTACTGCTACTACTGCTACTACTGCTACTACTGCTACTACTGCTACTACTGCTACTACTGCTACTACTACTACTACTACTACTACTACTACTACTTCTACGACAAATAATAATAAGAAGAAAAAGAATTATAATGATACGACGACTGCGACAAGGACTACTACCAGTACTAGTGTTACTACTAGCAAGAAGTATAGACCGTCAGGATGTCCGCAAGCTTCAATCCCCTCCGAACCAAAAGCCACAGGCTCTAAGGCCGACTTGTCAGCCAAGCTTGGACACCTTTCTTGCGCCTGTTGCCAGGAGTTCCAGATCAAACGCCATGACCTCCTGGAGCCATTGCTGAAGCAAGTTCTTTTGCGGCTTGGGGGTGGGGCTTAATGTAGGAACCTGATTAAGAAACCCCGGGCCTATAACCCCAAAATAGTAGGATTCATATGTAAGGAATCCTAATAAAGGCCCAGGGTTTCTGAATCAGGTTCCTACATTAGGGGGAATGAATGAGCCATCACGTCCCTCGAATATCGAACCCTAGGGGTCCATGTAGCTAAATAGTATATACATAGGCCTTTAAAGAATTCCCTATATGGCTACATTGGGGGCAAAGTATATACTATTTGGGTACATGGACCCTTATACCCTAAGGCCCTAGGTCCTTCTGGATCCCTTATAGACCCCTTTTGAAGGAACCCTTGTGGAGGAACCCTATTTCGGTACATGGACCCGGCAGTGAGTCTGGTAAGGACGAAGGGACGGGATCCGGAATATGCGGAAAGGGTCCAGAAGCAGCTTACATGATGGGTTTGGACATTTGCCAAAGTTGGGGTCGTGTTTTTGGAGTGTTGAGTTTGAAGATCGGGCCGGATTTACTTAAGGGATCATGGGAACAAGTAACAAGGGTGAGAATCAGGGTAACTCTACTTATAACTACTTACAACCCTAATTCAGGTACCTAGTACCTTACTTACTGCGTCCCATGATGCTCTAAGTAGACCCTAAACCCTAAACCCTATAGATCCCTTTCAGGAACCCTATAGATCCCTTTAAGGAGCCCTTTTAAGGAACCCTTACTAAGTCCCATAGTCCTTTAACTGCGATCTCGGGATCAGGAGGCCCCCGAAGGATGGACTCCCTAATCCGAAGCCGTCACATCACTGCCACTTGCTTGAGACTCGATGTTGTCCGGAAGATCCCTAAACCCCAATACCCTAAACCCTAATAAACCCAAATAAACCCTAAGCCCTAATACCCTAAACCCTAAAAAAACCCTAATGAACCCTGAACCCTAGTGCCCTAAACCCTAATATATGCCCCAAGCCCTAACGCCCTTAGAATGGACGACTTCAAGGCCCACCGCCAACAAAGCGATGATGCTGTGCATCGCGTTGCGGTTGCTTTCTACTGCTGCTGCTGCTGCTGGCATTATGTTGAAAGTGGTGGTGCTGCTGACGATGATGTTGATCATGATGGTGGTGATAGCTTTGATGCGATGATGCTGATGATCATGCTTTTGCTGATGCAATAAAAGCCGCCACACCATAAATCCTGGCAGTTGCCAGGACTTCCACCACAACCGCTTCGACCGGGACTACGTGGAGTTTAACGTGCGCATTTCTGCACCTTTCCTGTTCTTTTAAGGTTTAGGGCTTAGGGCTTAGCGTTTAGGGATTTGGCTGTGGTTGCTGAAACCTACACTCTAAACCCCCTTCTGGTTTGGTCAAGGCTTAATCTCCAAACCCTAAATGTTCGCTTCAGTCGCGAATTGTTCGCTTCAGTCGCGAAGGTCCGTCAGCAGGCTATATAGCAGATTCCGAGGTTTAGGATTTAGGGCTTAGGCAGGATTTAAGGATGGTGCCAGACTGAACAACGATGAACACAGGGTTCGGTGTTGAGGGTTAGGGTTAAAGAGTTGGGGTCAAGCATTAATAGGCTAGGACGGCTAGGATACTATATCCCAACACCCCTGCTTAGTTATTACACATTAGGGCCCTCACATCCAGAAGCCCTCGTAGATTCCTTATACAACGCGTACTTTATACCGTACGAGAAAAAGCATTCTAGTTCTTGAGGCCCCTGCGTACTTGGAGGTTCATGGGTAGTTACAAGTAGGGTTATAAGTAGGATATCTATGGTTATCAATTAGAGGACTTATAACCCCACTCAGAACTACCCATGAACCTCCAAGTAGGTTCGAGGCCTGGATTTGTTTGCCACAGAACCGCATCCATCTGAGCCACAGAAAAAAGAGAAACATGTCCGTCCCGAAGCCACCAAACAGCGGGATGTTGTAGGGTTAAGGGTTCGCGTTTGGGCTTCAGGGGTTCAGGGTTTACGGTTTGCATGTTCGGGGTTTCGGGTTTAGCAATACATGGGGGTTTCCGAAAATAGGGGACCCTAATATAGCACCTGAAATAGTAGGATCCTTATTATGAGGACCCCCAAATAAGGTACCCCGAATATTCGGAAACTCCCACATGGATCAACCTCGTCGGAGTCTGTTTCTTACTTATCCGTACCTCAAGGATCGTTGGTCCAGGACAGTAGGGTATGGCTGCAAACTGTTGCATGAAGTGAGGGGTACGCAGTTCATAGCCTTTTGACGAAAAACCCAATCTCCGAGTTTTCCAAGTTTTAACCCCAAACCCTGAATAACTCTGAACCCTGAACCCTAAACCCTGAACCCTAAACCCTAGACCCTAAACTACGAGTCAGCACCAACACACCAAAAAGACGTAAACCCTTTGCCCCCAGCCCCAATCCCCATACTGACGCCAAGGCTCCTGTACAGCCTCAAGAAATCAAGTCTTTAGACTTAGAACCTCTAGTAGGTATATTGGGGTTTAGGGTCTAGGGGTTTGGGGCGGGCTTAGGGGTTTGGGGTTTAGGGTTTAGGGTTGCGTTGAAGTGTCTGGGTGCCTATGTATATGTATATATACAAACACATACTTTATATACATACACACACACACGCAGACACACGTTGTATGCAAGTGAATCTGAAGCGGCAAATAAACAGATGTATAGATTTATATGCCTGTACATCTACAATGCTTGTTGTTTTACTGCCGAGGTTTTGCAAAGGCAATGGACTCCTCAGCCTGTGCTTATGTTGATGATATAAATCCTGCATTACCTTAAATGCCCTAAACTATGGGAATTATGATACATTCCTTATTATGGGTAATGCAGGATTTATATCATCAACCTAAACCCTAAAAACCCTACAGATCCCTTAAAGGAGCCCCTTAAAGGTACCCTTGTAGATCCCTTTATTTAATGCAGGATTTCTACCATGAACCGTTCGATCCTTGACTCGGATGCCCAGTAGTACCCTTATTCCATTTTTCTAGTCCTAGGTTCCTTATAAAGTTACCCAATACCAAAAAGAGAGGCCTTTTTATTCTTAGGTTACTGGGTATCCTTATTATGGGTAATGCAGAATTTGTACCATGAACCGTTCGATCCTTGAGCAACCGAGGATCTGGAGAGCAGCCTTCGTCAGTTCATCAACCACTCCTTTGAGGCCTCTTTGTATATACGGTTCCCTTAGAGTTTAGGATTGAGGCCTCTTTTTATATACGGTTCCGTCTGAGTTTAGGATGTAGGGGTCTTTTTTCGGTTCCGTTAGAGTTTAGGATTTAGGGGTCTTTCTTCGGTTCCGTTAGAGTTTTGGACTTAGGGGTCTTTTTTCGGTTCCGTTAGAGTTTTGGATTTAGGGGTTTGGGGGTTTAGGGTTTTGGATTTAGGGGTTAGGCGTTAAGGCGTTTAATGGCCTCGAGCTCGATCATCGCTGTCATTTAGGAGGGAGCATTGCAAAATGCTCAGGAGGGGGTCTACGAGGTCGACGCAGGGTCCCGGCTTCTTTGGATTCTTGTCGTGGCAGTGGCCTGCATCTTCTGATGTAGGTTGACCTAAATGTGAGAGTTGGGGGGGTGGGGGGAATGGCCCGCATCCCGGGACCCCTCCCAACAAAAGGTACACAAAAAAGCCTGGTGGCGTCTCAAGAACTAAAAACCTCAACCCCCCAATCCTAAAACGGATGCAGAAACCTGAAGCCTAAATCCAAACTCCTAAACCTTACACCCTAAACCGAAATCCTATGCGACCGAACCTGAAACGGTTCCTGTACACCCATGTCATCAGGCCGATTATATGGGAGTTTCCGAGAATAGGGGTCCCATATTTTGTAGTCCTTATAACAAGGACCCTACTGTTTAGGGTACCATATTAGGGTCCCCTATTTTCGGAAACTCCCATATGGCTGGTTTGAACAGCTCCGCTCCGATAGCCGGCAGCCCCAAAACCCCAAGCTCTTAAGCCCAAGGCGATCGCGAGCATCGACTCGTCCTTGAAATTGCTGACAAAATTCCAGGCTATCCTTCAACGAGACAGAGCCTTTCCGGCAAGTGTGTGGGTTTTCGGACGGGTTTGGCACCCGAAGCCCTTATGAACGCATACCCTTCGAGCCCACAGCAGAATCCCCAAACTCCTGGGAAGCCTGTTCCCAGAATGCCCCCAACAAAACCATAAGCCTGATAGCCCGGACTAAACCCTGAATTTCAAAGTAACAAGTATCAAATTTCAAGGGTACAGGCTGAAAACTTTTAAATCCTACGGGTTACGGGTAGTGTTTTTATTTCCCGAGGATTTAGGGTTAACAGTAGTAAATCCCAAGAGTGTAGGGCGAACGTTTGAACCCTAAGGGTTTAGGGCAGCAGTTTTGGAATCGTCAGGGTCTGGAGCAAAAACCAAATCCTACGAGTTCAGGGTACTGGGATGAAAGTTTAGGGGCTTTAAGAAGTTCAGGATTTATAGGGGCATACTGAAGCTATGCGCCAAGCATGAATGCCGTCGGAGCTGTAGAATGACTGGCCGAGAGCCTTTGAGAGCGAAGCATGGAAGCGCCTCCGATGTTGTGGTTTAGGGCTCCTTTAGAGGGTTCTATAAGGGTTCCTTTAAAGGGATCTATAATGGTTCTGTAAACGGGTTTTAGGTTTCAGGGGTTTAGGGGCTTAGGGGTTTAGGGTTCGGGGGTTAGGGTGTAAGGTTAGGGTTCAGGGTGCGTTTAGGGTTTTAGGGCGTAAGGTGTGGAGTTTAGGGTTTGAGTCGACGGGCTAGGGCTCAAGCAGTCCAGATTAGGGTGTAATATCGGGGCCTTAATAACGGGTTTGGGTGTATATTCTGCTTTAATTATGGGAAGGAACCCCCAAAACCCCGCTGTAATTATTCAGGTCCCTACATTAGGATTCTCGGTATGGTCCCTTCAAAGGGGATATTAGGCTCTCTGCATGCGTATTGCGACTTGGAGAATGGGGACTGTTGTTGGAGCTTGTAAAATCCCACGCCTTAGGGTAAACTCTACGAGCTCCGAACCCGAAGCTCTAAATCAAATCCTAACAGTCCTTAAACTGAACTCTGAGCCCTAAACGGTTACACCTTGAGCTGAGAGGGTTCAGGGTTTGCAGCCCCCTGCGCCAACCCTAATTAGAAATTAATTTTGCAAGGTCTGCGGCAGGATTTGGAAAACAAGTTCGCGGTGATTTTCCACAACTACGGGCTCGAGCTGACACACGTGCAGGACCAGTACGAGAAGTACAAGACAGGCGAGAACGCTTGAGTGGAGACATTCCACGGCTGAATCCTCGAGTTTGGGTTGACTCTCTAGGTTTGTAAACCCTAAACCCTCATCTTAGTCGTTGAGTGGATACACTTTACAGCTGGGTAAATATTTCCGACTATAAAATTAAAAGTGTATATACACTTTTTGGGGCTTATAAACTCAGCAACTAAGCCATTAAACCAATGATGAATGCCAACCTGGCAAAGGGCTTGGGGTGCTTAAAAGGCTTCGGCTTAGGCAGATCCCTGAAGAAAGCAGGCCTCTAAATTCTGAGCGACTTTCGGGTGGCTAAACAGATTTGGGTTTCCGTCATGTACGAGGTTCCTGAGAAGTACCCTTTTGCCCTTTTTGTTTCAGGGCCCCCCTTGCTAAAGCCGAATAGTTTGAAAAAGGGTACCCTTTATTATAAAGAGGAACCTTGTGTAGCTCTTGGGAGATTCTTAGGGGATAGGGTTTCGCCGCTGTAACGGTAGTTGCTCAGTGGGTTCTGACCCTGAAGTGAACCCGAAAAATGCAACCTTAACCTTATTGTTGATTCCAGATGATTCTAGATTGGGAACAACCCTCCGTGGGGAGAAGCCGCTGTTGCTCCCACACTCGATTGGGAGTGTCTAGTGTTCAAGCTTTCGAATGCTATTTAAAGCACTTGCCCAAGGAATGAAACAATGTTTGTCACAAGTGCGGCAGCAATCAACAGTGATGCCATGTTGTTTGCAACAGTTGTTGCATGAAACCAGGAAATGTAGCAATGCTTGTCCCTGATGCTGTAGGTTTGTTGGCAGTGGGGGTTCGAAGCATATATGAGGCACTGAGATGTTCAGGGATCTCACTCGTTTCGAGTTGAGGGTAACACGCCGTTTTCATGTCTGCGTGAAGATCCCCCTGGATCTGGAAACAGCAGGCCACTACCTCAGAAATATTTTAGCCACTATCTCTTGAAGAGGTCCCTTCAGGCTGTAAGGGTTAAGGCCCTTCTAGGAAACTGAAAGTAGCTATTATAGTAGGTCTCATTACACAAGCCCTTGTTGCTAGAAGCCCGTGGCTCACTGCCCACAGGTCCGCCCCTGGTCCGAAACCTGCCGCCCGTGGCTGGGCACATCACCTGGTCCCGGCACCTCTACAGGCTCCGGGCTTTTAGGGGTTACATGCTTTTTGTTGGTGGTTTTAGGGGTTAAGGGATTTTGGGTTTAGGGTTCTGGTCCGAGTTTTGATCGTTTTAGCGATTTTAGCGTATTGGATAGGGGTCGAGAAACCCCTAGACGCTAAACCCTAAAGGACTATGGATGTGCTGTAAGGGATAAGGCGTTTCGGTGCACGATTGGAGTTATTGTTGGCTTCAAGTCAGACTTGTTTTGCAGGTTTTTGTTTCGCAATATCTAGAACACAGTACCCAGCGATTCGCATCTCAAGCTCTAAACCCTAAACCCCTGAGGCTTGACTTACTTAAAGGATCATGGGACTTAGCAACTAGGGTTATAATTAGGGTAACTCTACTTATCACTACTTACAACTCCAATTCATCAATGTACTTATAACCTTACTTACTACGTCCCCTGATCCTCCAAGCACTGAATCACTTTGCAAGTGAGCATCCTTGTGAGGCGGATCGAAGGGCCCATGCAGAAGTTCAACACGAACCCCGCCATTTTGGCACCACGGCTCAGGGTTTAGGGCCTGGGGCTTATTTTGGCACCACGGCTCGCGGTTTCGGGCTTTAGGCTTTGAATTCGGGATAGATTTAGGGATTAGAGGATGAGGCTGTAGGGTTGCATTGTTCTGGCTTCTCCAGTACTGTATTCTCTATACATTCTATGCATATATACGTACACACATAGACATCTGTGTTTGCGTATACACATATATATATATATATGTATGTATATGTATATGTATATGTATATGTATATGTATATGTATATGTATATGTATATGTATATGTATATGTATATGTATATGTATATGTATATGTATATGTATATGTATATGTATATGTATATGTATATATATGTATATGTATATGTATATGTATATGTATATGTATATGTATATGTATATGTATATGTATATGTATATGTATATGTATATGTATGTATGTATGTATGTATGTATGTATGTATTCACGGCGAAGAGGACGCCGCTCGCCAATCGCGTCAGCGAGCTGCTGAGCGAGTGCTTACCTTACAACTACATAACCCCCATAACGCATGTTATCAAAATTCATTTGCACTTGCTTTCACATGGGCGCTTGCTGCCAGCCCCTTATGTGAGGCTGATGGGGAGCTCAATGTCGAAGCCGTAGGTTCGCTTTCGGAGCTGTTTACTTCCATCCTCACCATGGATCACGGCAGCCTTGAGGATCTACGCGTGTGGCGGAGCATCATGAGAGGTTGGCAACAGCCTCACATGCAACATGACATCAGTGAGTTTGCGGAGCATGCCCTCCGGCGGTTGAGACCTGAGACTCTGCAAGGATCTTGGTCTGCACGCCGTGAGGACCCTGTCATACGTGTGCTTGATTGCGGAGACCTGTGGTCACCTATAACCCTAGCAATTCCACCCAGGGCGACTGATCTGCAGGAGTGTATCCAGAACTGGCATGGCCAGTCAACGATCCATGCACTAGAAGGTGAAGCGCCTGTCGTCATGTTCCAGTTAGGCCGTTTCCATGACACTGCCAGTACAGTGATCACCAAGAACTGTCAGTCATTGAAGCTGCTACCACAGGCCCTACTGCCTGTGTTCAGTGGAGGCCTAAGGACCAGATGGCACGCGTACACCCTCTCAGCCTGTATTTTCCACATTGGTCAGTCGCCCCACTCAGGTCACTACAGGGCCGTTCTGATGGGGTATGCTGTTCCGGGGATAAGCGACGGCATGACGGATGCTGGCACTGGTGATGCTGGTGGCACCACTCACCAATATGTGACAGACGATGATTGTAGTGCTATCGAAGTCACTCCTGAACTGCAGACGCTCTGCGAACAGAACTCGTATCTGCTGTTTTATGTTAGAAGTGCCGAGTGATCCGGGCTGTTCTGGGGTCTTTGCTGCAGAGGCGGGAGATGTAGGTGTTCCACTCCCCGCGCTCTTGAATCCATTTTTGATCGCGTTGTGAGCGTAGGCATTGCATCGCCTACAGATTTGGATCTTTTGGGTAACGTTCCCTCCACCTGCTTGGCAGTTCGCTGCGGGGTGGAAGCCGCCTATGAGTGGCCGGGCCAATTGTGCCTGTGTATCTAGTCGCTAGCCGTCAACGATGGTGCGTCCGCAAAGTGCAAAAGTGTATGTATTCACGCACGTGCATACGCATGTATGTACATTATGTATGTATATGTGTATGTCTATGTCTATGTATACGTACAGGTCTAGGTGTAGGTTTAGGTGTATGTGTATGTGTATGATGTCTATGTGTTTGTGCATGTGTGTGCGCGCGTTGATATGTGTAGGTGTATGTGTGTGTGTGTGTGTGTGTATATATATATATATGTGTGTGTGTGTGTGATGCGAGCATACAACATATTCCGCTATTTTACCTTGATAATAACTAGTTTCCTGCTTGCCCACCTGCCTGCCTGCTGTCCGCTCTGCCTATTTCTATCTATGTTCACAGCCCCCTGGCATTTGTTTTGTTTTCGATTACGGCCTCCCTCTCCCTTGTCCTGACTCCAAAAGCACAGCTGGCATGAGCTCTCCTCACCCATCGGGCGCCTCGGGCCAGGCCGAATCTCCGGGACCCCTGCGAACCTTCAGCTTTATCCTATGCTTTAGAAGCTGCCCCCACCCTGTAATGGTGGTATAATAGGAATATAATAGGGCCCTAATATAATCCTATATCATCCTTATAGTCACTATTACAGGGTGGGGGCAGCTTCCAACCTATGCTCCAAAGCCCTCAGCTCCTAATCCTAACCTCCTAAACCCAAAACCCCAAAACGCTAAAGCCCTGACTCCCAGACCCTATCCCAAATCCAGAGCTCCTCAAGCCTCCCATGGACAACTAGCTCGAAGAAAAAGTTCCAAAGTTCGGAATCCTGGAGCCACAAGCGCTGTCTAGATCAGAACCCTTAAATAGCCCTGCGTAAGGGCGAAAAGGAAGAGGGAACTTTGCAACCTCAACAAAGCCCTACTTATGAAGCCACCTATGACCCTTAGAAGGTACAACAAGCACCATTTCGGACCCTTAACCCGAAGACCCCAAGCCCTAAGCCCGAAGCCGTACCCAAAACCCCATGACACTAAAGAAAGGGCAGAGCTGCGCAACTGCGCAGTCCCAAACAGGCCGTCAAAACAAAAAAGACTGTGCCCCTCGGAGAGTCTCAGGCTGGACGGGACTCGAGGAAACTTATCCGCATGTACAACAAGATGGCGAAGACTCTGGTGGAGTTTGAGACTCTGTGGTACCAGGCCCATACGCCTTAGCCCTAAACCCTAAACCCTAAACCCTGGGTAACTTGAGGTATAAGGGATTCTGGTCCAAAACCCTCCGAAGGGTTTAGGATTGAACCCCAAACACTAAACCCAGAACCCGAAAAGAACCCCAAGAAAGTTCAGGGTTCTTCCCTAAACTCTTGTTCCGGGCGTGGTGAGAAGCTCGCGGTCGGCGGTTTTGGGTTTTGTGTTGGGGATTCTGGGCTTCGCGCCGATTGCTGAGGCCGGAACAAACTGCTACCTTTGTCTTTCTTGGCAGAATTTCGGAGAGCATACCCCGAGCCAAAGAAGGACTACATCCCCCAACCAGCTGGAAGCTGGCAGAAGGACTCACAGTCCCTCTACCGTCTCGATTGTAGTTCCTTTATTGGGTTACCTTTTAGGATCCTAAAAATACATTGGGTCGAAACCAAAGAAAGAGGAACTACAATGGAGACTATAGTCTATAGGTAGTCTCCTTGTGGAGCCCGTTCGAGAGAAGTCTACAAAGTTATGGCCGCTACTGTAATCTCTACATCCCTGCCACCTGTGAGCCTCGACTAGACCTCGAAAGTGGCGCCTTCGTTAGGCCAACCGGGATTGGCAGCATAGGGTTTTCGAGGCAGTCTTGATGATAATGATATTGCTGGTGGTGATGCTGATGCTGCTGATGATAACAATTATATTTATCATGCTGATGATGGCGATGTCCGCTAGTGATCCTGATGTGCCACTGTTGATGTGACTTGTGGCCCTTTCTTCCTCGTCGGTGCTGTTATCGTAATGTCAAGTTAGTACCACGATGACTGCGAGATTGTAGTTGCTCGTCGGGGAGCAGTCAGGTTCAGTGGGCAAATCACTGTGAATCAGGGCCGCTCTCAAAGTCATACTGGCCACTTGTGCAGTGCATGCTCCGATCCAGCACGCCGCTCATGTGGTTCGAGCCGGCATGTTTGTGCTTTGGTGGCATTTCTGCGTTCGATATTGCGTCCTGCACTGCTTGGTAGGTTTCCAGAGCTTGGCAAGCAAGACAGGCGACCAGTAGACGGTTGACGGTTTTCAGCGAAGATCACTCCGATACAGCATGGAAGCGCAAACTTCGTCGGCCTTGCAGCTCACCGCTGTGACTGGAGGCAGTGGGTACTTGGGGCAAGCGGCGACGCGCCGGCTCCTTGAGCTCGGTGTGCCTACTCGCATCATCGACACCAAGGTCCCTCCGTCGGACCTGGAAGCTGCGACCTTCGTCCGCTGCGACATCCGGGAGCCTGCGAGTGTAGCCGCTGCGCTGCAGGGCGTGCAGACGGTGATACACTTGGCAGGTTGGGAGTTAGGATTCGGGGATAAAGACCCTCTCAAAAAGGTCCCTTTTAAGAGAGCCAGAAGTAGGGTTCGGAAGGGGTATACCCTTTAAGGGGTCTCCCTCATCATGCTACCCACAGGTCTCATTGACATTCGTCGGTGCTTCCACCCGACGGCCAGCCAGGAGGTCAACGTACAGGGCACATCCAATGTCCTCCGGGCCTCAAGAGGTGCCGGAGTGAAGCGCATGGTTTATGTCTCAACCTCAAACGTCCTCATGGAGGAGACTTAGCAGCTGAGTCAATACGCTTTACACTTGTTGTTATAATATAGCCCCTCATGGAACTGAAAGTGTACACTTTTGGGACTGATGAACTCAGCAACTAGGGAGAAGGCACCTGAAGGTCTCCTATAGTAGTCCCAATAACCCATTCCCCTATTCCCTACCAAGAGCCAGACAGTCTATTAAGAACCCTAAACCCCTATAGTAGAACCCTTCTCGTAACCCTTATAGTAACCCTTAAGTAACCCTTAAAGGAACCCTTAAAGGAACCCTCAAAGGAACCCTTACAGGAACCCTTAAAGGAACCCGTAAAGGAACCCTTAAAGGAACCCCAAGGAGAAGGAATGCCTGGATATCGACGAGGAGACAGTCCCGCCGCGGCCGTGCACCGAGTACAGCCGGACGAAACTGGAGGCCGAGGCGCTGGTGCTCGAAGCTGGGCTCTTGTTGAGGAATTTCAAATTTAACTTAAGTAACTTAAGTTAACATAATATATAGGGATCTATAGTAATTCTGTTTTAAATTCAAAACAACGCTGGGCTCTTGTTAAGGAGTTTAAGTTACCATAATAGGGTTCTATAGTGATTAAAGTGGTTTCTGTATTATGGCAACTTAAATTACCTCCCTTAATCTAAGTTACCATAAAGACAAAAACCCTATTAATTACTATAGATCCCCATTATGATAACTTCAACCCCTTAACCCTAAACCCTAAACCCTAAACCCTTAACAAGAACCCAGGGAGAGGTAACTCGGGAAGATGGGCTGTTGGTTACCGTGCTGCGCCCCCCGTGGATCTGGGGCCCAGGGGAGGGTAACTAGGTTGGATTTTGGGACATTTTTATTTGGGTTTATAAGGGACCCTATATATATACATATATATATATACATATATATATATATATATAAGTATATTTCAGGGTGTCTAAAGGCCAACCCAGGTAACTTCTGGGTGGCAGACAACCCGCTGCCTCTGGCCGTCCGCACAGGATACTGCAATGGCATCTACGTCCGCAACGCCGCAAACGTGCTGGTGCACGCGGCCTCGCAACTGAAAGATCGCAACTCTCCATCCCATGGGCAGGCGCTTTTTATCAAAGACCCGACGAGCAAGTCCAGCAATGGCTTGCTGCACTGCCAGCTGCTATACCGGTGCAAGGTGGCTGGCCGCTCGGTACCCACGAACTTTGACATCCCCTTTGCAGTCTTGCTGTGGGCCGCTTGGCTGACGGATCTTTTTTGCAGCATCGTTTGGTTGGTATTCAGGGTGCACCTTCAACGGGGTGACGGCTTCACGCAGTACGCGATCTGGGCGGGCTTCGGGCACCACACCTTCTGCGACCGCAGGGCTCGTGATTTGTTGGGCCAGTGGCCGGAGGCCGGTGCAAAGCCTAAAGTTGATTCGGGGTCGTGTTCTGTTCTTTGTGAAATCATTTCAGAACATAAGGGGCGGCGGGGTCCTAATTTAGAGAATCTAGAGCTGAATATCAGTAGGATCCTTATCACAAGGAGCCCCAATTTGGGATCGCTATCTTGAGAAGCCTCTTGTTCTTTCCTGGTCAGGTCTCCATGGACCAAGCGATTCAGGAAACCAGAGCCCACTACGGACTGGACGAGCCGAAACCGTCCTGACTTCTGAACGCTGCTTTCTGCTTGGGGGTTTAGGGTTTAGGGTATAAGATTCAGGGTCCAGGGCCAAACTGAGTCTAGGGCTTAGTAGTTTAATGTTGAGGGATCAGGTTATATAGACTCCAGGGTCTAGGGTTTAGTAACTTGGGGTTATGAGTTTGGCCTTAGGGGGTTTGGTTTCCGCGGGATCTAGGTTGTAAGTGCAGGCATCTTGTCAAAGCCAAATGAGAGGAAAGGTAGGATTGAGCTGTTATGGTGTATTGTTTAGGGGCCCGAAGCGCAAGCAACACCAAACGCTCAAACATCTAAATCCTAAGCCAGAAACCTTAGACCCTAAACGCAAAATCCATTCATACAAACCCCTAAACTAAACCCTAAACCCTACTCCGTGATAGGAGCCCTGTAGAAGCCCTTATAGATCCGTGTAGGGAGCCCCAACAAGGACCCTTAATCCCGAACCCAAAAGACCCCAAACCGACATTCGCAACACCAAAGCACTAAGCCCTGAAACCGCTTCATTCTGGTGTCCTCATGCTGCTCTATGCAGCACCCCCTAAACCCTCTGAGCCATGTTATCCCAGGATAGATCAGCCCTCGTTTAAAGAACTCAGGGGTCAGGGTTAAGGGTTTAGGGTTACCCATACAAAGCTACTATACTTGGAGGGGCAGGGGACTTAGTAAGTCGTTCATAAGTAGGGAAATAATTGGGTAACTCCATTTAGGTTACTTATAACTCTACTTATAACCTACTTACTAAGTCCACTGCCCTTCCAAGTAAACCCCTTAAAAATCCCTAAACCCCCAAAAGCCCGAAAACTAACTCCAATCGTCCAGGATGCTGGACAAAGCTACCATATCCTTTATCCCCCTTTTGGGTCGTGACAGGCCTGGGTCTCCAGCATTGAGACGGTGAAGAGTGGCCTGCAGGCGACGCTGATCATCAAGTCGCCTGCCCGTTTGTTGGTCTCCGGGGTGTAGGGCTCTTTAGGGTGTAGGGTTTAAGGTTTAGGGTCTTACGGTTTGGGGTCCTAGGTTTAGGGGCTGTTTTGTCCGTTTGGCTCCGGGGTTTAGGTACTGTCGGCTTGAGGATTCAGGGTTGAGGGTCTTTAAGCTTAGGGACTTGAGGCTTTAACCTTTAGGATTCAGGAGCATATATATAAATATATATATATATATATATATATATATATATGCTACCCCCCCCCGCTAAGACCCGCAAGAACTAGTAAAAGATCCTGATAATTCACTCCAGCATTCCTACATGTGCTATCCACGCGTGTGCAAAACACGGTGTAGACAAGATAGTCTAGTGAAGTATTGCTGTTATCTGCCTCATAACTAGATTTATAAATATTCTTACAAATATTTGAACAATTTGATACAGCATTACTGCAAATAATGTTCGGAAATTACGCAAAACACAATATAAGCAAGATAATCTAGTGAAGTATTGTTTGGTTGTCTGCCCTGGAGCAAGAAATGTAAATATTCTTATAAAATTTTAGACAATTTGATACAGTACTAGTACAATTGCTATTAGGAACTACGCAGAACACAATATATCGAAGATAATCTAGCGAAGTATTAACACGGCATCATACATGTATTTGTTTGATATAATTCTGCTCATAGCAGGTGGGAGCCCACCTTCCCAACTTTCCCAATTTCTTCACTTATATCATATTTTGAGCCACCCTAAAATTAAACATTGTTTTCCGTGCTGGCCAATATTTCAGACTAAGAGCCACTATATTCAATTTCCCCTTCCTCACTGCCATATTATAAGAACTGATTGCTTCGTTGGAAGTGGAAGTTCCGCAAAACGTATTTCCGCAATTATTGTTTGTATGAGCCAGCCAAACAGGAACAGATAATCAAACAAACTCCGGAGAAAACATCGTCCAGGAACAAGGAGTGTTTCTAATTGGCACACAGACAGACAAATTTCAAATTCCATCGTAAGCCCTAAGCCCTAAAGACCCTAGACCCTAAACCCTGAACCCTAAGCCCTAAGCCCTAGTCCCGAAGCCGTGGGTGTAGGTTCCAGGTCCCCTTGAACGAACCTAGCTGTTGATTAACTGACTCATTGCACAATCTGACATGATTTGGATGAGAAGCCTGCTGTCTTCTAGAACCATTGACAAGCTAATTTCCCTACATCGGCTTAATCCTTTCCCGTTGTAGGAGTCACCCCTGAGAATTGAAATTAGTATTGGGCCCGGCGTGCAGAACATTAAGCGGGATTTGGGTTCGGCCTGTTTTGCAGCCCACGAACCCTGAAATTCTACATGTCTGTGGCCTGCGGCCTGCAAGTCACCGCAGCACTACATTCTCGAAACCAAGGCTGCCCGTAATCCTCTAGCTCCTAGCATTACCTGCTCCCACATTATTACGAGTATTGGCGTCAGATATTACCATCGTTGCCAACGCTCAGAGCATTTCGTTTAGCTTGAGTGGTGGTATGAGTACTAGTAATCCGTAGTAGATTTCTCTGCTGGCCACTGATATCATCAGTCCCTCGTCCTGGCTCGTAGTATTCAATGTATCCGTGATAATACTCGCAAAGTCGCTGGCGTGCTACATGGGTTAGTTCAAGCAGGGGCCAAACAACTCGTTCAGTTTACTGTCATAACTTCCATCATAAACTAAATTAAGAAAGCACGGATATACCACTAACAAATATTGCCAGTAAGTTGATTAGGTGACTGGTTAAATCAACGTTTTTGTGTATACATAATACTGTGACATACACTGTGTAAGCACCTGGAATTAGCTAATTCTCTACATTACCATGGTCTGGTCATGTTTCAATCACGGGACAAGTGCATCCATTCACAAACCCATATGTTTTCAATTGCTTGCCTCTGGCATAGGGCTGTCAGAATGCAAAAGGTGAAAAACAATTACTCGGCTTGGCAGCAAGTAGACTAAATGTGTGCTTAAACCGCTTGAAATGGCTAGCTCCTTATCTTGATATAAGCAGAAAATTTAACAGACATGCATTTAGATACGCCCGCATGCAGATTAGAGGCTTCATTTTGGCAATGATAGTGGGTTCCTACACATGAGTTGGACTGATGAATGGCCAAAAGACAACTAGTCTGGCACATGACAAATGAAAATGAAGATCTAAGCACAACACTATAGAATGGGATGTTTACTTAGTGTTTCAAGTATGTAACCTGATTAACCACCGGCATGAAGAAGCCACAAAAAGCTTTCGCATAGGTTAACTTTTTGAATGATGCCGTTATTTGGATTTATGTTGAAAAGAAGCAAACAGGGTCTTTACACACACACCGGAACAACAAATTTTCTTGCCTTGGCACTACCAGATTCCTTTATGCGCACATGTATCAGCCTCTGTGCTTGAGACAGAAACGAAATCTGGATGTCATGATGTTTCACAGGATGGCACAAAGTCGCAGGTTTTCAGATTCGCGAATTCGCAGATTCGCAGATTCGCAGATTTGCAGATTCGCAGATTTGCAGAGTCTTAGATTCGCAGATTCGCACATTGTATAGCCTTTGCGATTTGGCAATCTGCGAATCTGCGAATCTGCGAATCTGCGAATCTGCGAATCTGCGAATCCGCGAATCTGCGAATCTGCGAATCTGGGAATCTGCGAATCCGCGAATCCGCGAATCTGCGAATCTGCGAATCCGCAAATCCGCTGAAGTATCCGTCACAGCGAGGCCCTTTGAGCATCAGATACTTACACGTCGCGTCGCGAATCCCTCAAATTGAGAAGCCCTGAAAGACCCTGAACGTTATTGCAGCTGCATCCATGCCCCGATGAAGTTGGGCAAGTCGAGACAACCTGACAGCAAAGCGTGGGTTTTTTGGGGGGGGGGTACCATATATATATATATGTATATATATATATATATAGATTCAGGGGCTTTCGTGTTTGGGGGACTCATAGGGGAAGGACCTTGTGACAGACTGTTACACAGAAGACCAAACCATTTCCTATTCGCAGGGTTACCACCTAATGCCGTCAGACTTAGTTCTCAAAAACACGGCCCCTGTATCGGGTCGGTGGACGTGGTAAGTAGGCTTCTTGTACGTAGTGATACTGTTGATGATATACAGCCTGCATTACCTTAAGGACCCTAACCTATGGGAATTATGGTATCTTCCTTATTATGGGTAGTGCAGGATTTATATCATCAGCCGCAGTAGCAGGTAGTTATGACGTCGGACCCTAAACCCTAAACCCCTTAACCACCCTCAGCACGAAACCCGGAGCCTGGGCCTTCCACACGAAACCCTGCAACCCGAAACCCTGAGCCTCCAATATCCCTTAATTAAGGGATATACCTTAATTTGATATTTGGGATCCTACTATAATTTCAGGTATATTCCTTGATTAAGGGATATACCTTAATTTGATCTGATCCTATTATAGTTTATGGTATATTCCTTCATTAAAGGATGTTGGAGTCTCAGGGCACCCCGAGCCTCAAATGGAGTGAGCCGGGACTGTCAGCACGACGAGCGGCCCTCAAAGCTGGTGAGGGTAGCTGTCGAGCTTCGGTCAGCCAGACACAGAATCTCAGAAAGGGTTTAGGGTTTAGGGTTTAGAAGGCTTAGATCCCTAAGCCATATTCAATCCTGCCTAGAGGGCAATGTTTAGGGATCCTCAACATCAGGGTTGCAGGTTATGTGGTCTCATCCTCTCAGCCCGCATCTGCTGAGCCCTAAGCCTGAACTTGTCGCGTGATCTGGGAGTTTCCATGAGTTCCCCGAAAATAGGGGACCCTAAATAGTAGGATCCCTGTTATAAGGACCCCAAAACAAGGTACCTCTAATTTTCGGAAACTCCCATAACCCTAAACCCTAAATCCCTAAACCCTAAACCCTAAACCTTATACCCCTAAACCCTAAACCCTAAACCTTATAGACACCGAGGCACCCGGATGACAACATGCGCTTCCATGTGAACTTCGACTGGGAGATTCTCCAGCATCCTGGACGATTGGAGTTAGTTTTAGGGTTT